GAAGAGAACCAAGGGGAAATTTTGGAAGAACTTAAAAAAAATATACAAAAATTAAAACCTCAAGAAATCAAAAGACACGGAGGAACACCTACCTTTATTTTCAAAGATATGAGAACAACAACACATGTTTTTGTGCGTAACGAGACACTTGGGGGAGGCCTTCGATCTCCGTATGAAGGGCCTTATAAAGTACTAAAAAGAAACGAAAAAGTTATCACGATCAACAAAAACGGCAAGAATATCAATGTGTCCATAGATAGAGTTAAACCAGCTTACATCCTTGAAGAAGATGATATTTTAACAAATCAACAGAAAATAACAGATAAACCGCAACCGGAAAAACTTCGGACGCGCAGCGGTCGGACTTCCAAACCACCGGTCCGTTTTCAAATCCCTAACTAATATACAGCGGAGGGGGTCGTGTGGCGTCCCTGACGCTCGCCACACCGAGCGCGATCTCGGGAAGCGCTGACCAGCGTAATGAAGTTGGCGCAATCTCAATAAATAATTAATCTCAATTTTAATTTATGCCGCTGAAGGGCGCGACAGATAAGATAATTTTCTCGCTATTGAAAAACATTAGAAAGTATATAAAGGAAGATGCGGTCAACGACTTTCCAACCAACTTGTAACCTCGCTGAAATAGCTTCTAGCTACTCAGTGAGTTTTCCTTTTGTCCTTTTTGAAAACCCTTGTGGTATACCTTATCACCGAGACCATCTAGATCTTCGGGATCCTCGAGATCTTCCAGATCACCGAGACCTTCCAGATCCTCGGAATCCTCGAGATCTCCCAGATTACCGAGACCTTCCAGATCCTCGGAATCCTCGAGATCTCCCAGATCACCGAGACCTTCCAGATCCTCGGAATCCTCGAGATCTCCCAGATCACCGAGACCTTCCAGATCCTCGGAATCCTCGAGATCTCCCAGATCACCGAGACCTTCCAGATCCTCGGAACCTTCGAGATCACCGAGACCTTCCAGATCCTCGGAATCCTCGAGATCACCGAGACCTTCCAGATCCTCGGAATCTTCAAGTTCACCGAGACCTTCCGAATTCTCGGCATCCTCGAGAACACCGAGACCTTCCTGATCCCCTGAATCCTCGAGATCTACCAGAACACAGAGACCTTCCAGATCTTCGGGATCTTCGAGATCTTCCAGATCCCCGAGACCTTCCAGATCATCGGGATCCTCGAGACCTTCCAGATGCCAACCGATCCTCGAAAGATTATCCAATTCCTTCCTTGGAGACTCATCCCGATAGATATAACAGCAAGAACATTTTCTCCGATCCCGGCAACGCCTTGTTCCTCTCCTCCGAGAACACCTCGTTCATCCAATAAACGTTCTAGGGGAACTCAGACTGAACCATTTAATAGTAGAGGAGAAAGACTAGGGAATTTGCGATTTACTAAGTCTTCGCCAAGAATAGCTTGGCGCCCCAAAATTGTAAAAAAAAATGAAATAAAAATTTGTTAAAAATACCACATGATTCATCGATAGATTCGTTTGAAGATAAAGATATTCTATCAAGCACTCTCGATGAATGTGATAATTGGAACATATGCGAGAACTGGCGCGGAAAAGCTGCCAAAGAATCCTGGCCAGAATCTAAGGAATATGAAAATAAAGTAAAACCTGATCCGAAAATACATTCCCTTAAGAAATCAGCTGATTCCATTAAATGTTCGGCTGTAAAAAGACGTAAGCCCACAAAGTTGGACAAATGTCCGGAATGGAAATATATTAAAAATGTCAAGTTTTGTAAGCTTCCGAACTTTAAAAATGGTAATTTTTGCTCTCCTGTAAATATGGGAAAATATTTGCTAAACGTGAAAAATACATGTGCATTCGATTCAATATTGCATGTTATTATAAGTGCAATCGCTTCAAATGCAATTTATTCAGAAAAACTGAAGCATACTGTCAATCGCACAATAATGCTTGCTCGGAGCCTTGTTCAAGATAAGCAACGATTAACGATGGCCAGTTACAAAGAAAGAGCTGAAATACTGTCTACATTATCAATATTTAATATTGAACAATTTACGAGGACAATAAGACGCTTAGATACAAATTGCAATGCAACACACTTAGCGGAACATCTATTTGTCGATGTTCCCAGTCATAAAACGAGAGTCATCTGCTCATGCGGATATCGCCTAGAAATAGAAAATGTTACGCTTAGCATTAATGTTGATGTATTATTGTGCGAAGGATTCAGTTTTATGCAAAAGGCTATAGATGAGGGTCGTACATCACAACGTTTATGTCGAAAGTGCCATAGAATCATCGATGACGAAGTAAAATATGGACCACACATAATAATTGATACCACAGTTTTAACTGACAATAATTACAACATCAGAAACGAAGGTTTTATCCACGCTCTACAATCAATTGCTGAAACAGTTGAAATAAAGAATACAACCTACCGATTAGCTGGTCTCGTTCACTACTTTCCTGGACACTACGTAGCTTACGTAAAATTAGGTTTATATTGGTACAAGTATGACGATTTAGCCAAAAATCGTCAAAGCGTGCAGTCAAGCACGGAAGTGAAACCTCATCTGATAGTGTACATTATAACAAGGCTTCATTATAACAAATTTTATAAGATTTATTTGTTAAAATTAATATTTAGAATAAAGATTTATAATCATTCAATAAAAAATAACACATTATTTCACAAAAGTATAAAAAGAAAAAACAAAAGTATAATAAGAAAAAACAAAAAAAAACAAAAAAACAAAAAAAAAAACAAAAAAACAAAAAAAACAAAAAACAAAAAAAAGTGGATCCAATTCTTACCACGTCCTCGTCGTTGGATCTGGATAACGCCAAGAGTAAGAGTATTCAACTACATGCAAAATAAGGACAACGCATAAGAAATAATTATCCATTTATAAAAAAGTGATAACTCTAAATCTGAGTTAGAGATAAGTATATGCCACTGATAAAATCTCATGATCCTTAATAAATATTATTAAAATTGTATGTATACAATGAACAAAGTGTACGTACATAGTACCGTACATAAACAGTACGTACGTAGTACGTATACAGGGTGATCCCGAAAAACCTTCTGTCTTTAAAATGACGTATTCCTGACACCATTTTAAGACAATTTTTCCTTTACCAAAATTTGATTTGAAGCGTAGTTTTTAAATTATGAGCAAAAATAGTTAGTGAATCACGCGTCGGGTACAGAAGGCAGGCAGGAGCGGCGCGGCGTGCCGCGAGCGCGGGCGCAGCTGACCGCCCGACGGGTGATTAACACTGCATGAATCGCTAACTATTTTATCTTATAACATAAAAATATGCTTCAAATAAAATTTTAGTAAAAGAAAATGTCTTAGAATTACGTCAGAAATACGTGTTAAAATAACGTTATTTTAATAATGAAAAATTGTTTCGGATTGCTGACCGTCCGAACGTTGCAATCAGCTGATTGCTACACGCAATAGTTAGCGATTCATGCGGTGTTAATCACCCATCGGGCGGTCAGCTGCGCCCGCGCTCGCGGCACGCGCGGCTCCTGCCTGCCTTCTGTACGCGTGATTCACTAACTATTTTTGCTCATAATTTAAAAACTACGCTTCAAATCAAATTTTGGTAAAGGAAAAATTGTCTTAAAATGGTGTCAGGAATACGTCATTTTAAAGACAGAAGGTTTTTCGGGATCACCCTGTATAGTAAAATACCCGTGTATAGCCACACACTTCTTACACCATACGTTATAAACAAAATCTCTAATTGTTTTAATTAGCAAAACTCTTTGGAAAGGTAATGTACATGCCCAGAGTTATACGAGAACTGTTTCAGAATAAGCAAAACTCTCGAAAACTGACTGGCATCTCACCTCTATACTTGAAAATATGCGTTTTTCGGGCAAAATAATTATTTAAAAAATTTTCTAATCCTTGTAATCATCAGAACTCTTTGGAAAGGCGTCGTTCATGCCCAGAACTATACGAGAATTGTTTTACATTAAGCAGAAGTGTCAAAAATCGAACAGCATCTCACCCTTATACTCGAGAATACGCGTTTTTCAGAGAAAATAATTATATAACAAATTTTCTAATCGTTGTAATCATGAGAACTCTTTGCAAAGGCGTTATGCATGCCCAACATTGTACGAGAATTGTTTTACATTAAGCAGAACTGTCAAAAATCGAACAGCATCTCACCCTTTTACTCGAAAATACGTGTTTTTCGAGCAAAATAAATATTTAAAAAAACTTCTAGTTTTCGTAATCATGAGAACTCTTTGAAAAGGCGTTTTGCAAACCCATAATTATACAAGAACTGTTTTAGAATAACCAGAACTCTCGAAAATTGACCGGCATCTCACCCTTATATTCGAAAATACGCGCTTTTCAGAGAAAATAATTATTTAAAAAATTTTCTAATCGTTGTAATCATGAGAACTCTTTGGAAAGGCGTTGTGCAAACCCATAACTATACAAGAACTGTTTTAGAATAACCAGAACTCTCGAAAACTGACAGGCATCTCACCTCTATACTCGAAAATACGCGTTTTTCGGGCAAAATAATAGTTTTAAAAAATTTCTATTTGTTTTAATTATCATAACTCTTTGGAAAGGCAATGTGCATGCCCAGAACTATACGAGAACTGTTTTAGAATAAGCCGAACCCTCATAAATCGATCGGCGTCTCACCTCTATACTCAAAAATATGCTCAAATTGCGGTTTTGATTTTAAATCAGTAGAACTCTTGTTCAAACCTATTTAAATTGCAGAACTATGCGAGAAACAACTGTTCGATGCTCAAATATTTGAAATTTGATGAGATGCTAGTATGTCGAATGTGAAGTTGGCATCTCATTTCTATAAATCGCGATTTTAACGGTAAATCAACAGAACTATTGATGAAACCTATCAGGAACTGTAGAACTATTCTGGATGCAAGTAAATATAACGTTTATTTATGAGATTCTAATAAATGATATGCCAACTTCACAGACACGAAAAAGTCGATGAAATTATGGAAATAATTGAACAAGACCGGCATATTAGCAGTCACGAAATCGGTAAGCAACTGAACATCGACCACAAAACAGTTTTAAACCATTTGCAGAAAGCTGGATACAAAAAAAAGCTCGATGTTTGGGTGCCACATGATTTAACAGTCAAAAATTTAATGGATCGATTTTCTATCTGCGAATCATTGTTAAAACGAAACGACATCGAACCATTTTTGAAACGGCTCATAATAGGCGATGAAAAATGGATCACGTATGACAATAATGTACGAAAAAGATCGTGGACAAAGCGAAATGAAGTTCCGCAAACTGTGGCAAAGCCAAAATTGACGCCAAGAAAAGTGATGCTGAGTGTGTGGTGGGATTACAAAGGAATCGTTCACTACGAGCTGCTGCCGTCCGGTCAAACAATTGATTCTAACCTTTACTGTCAACAACTGGAAAGATTACGCCAGGCAATTGAGAAAACGCGACCAGAATTGATCAATAGGAAAGGCGTCGTCTTTCATCACGACAACACGAGACCTCATGTATCTATAGCGACTCGTCAAAAATTAAGAGAACTTGGCTGGGAAGTTTTGATGCACCCACCTTATAGTCCTGACCTTGCACCATCAGACTACCATTTATTTCGATCTCTACAGAACTCTCTTAATGGTACGAAGTTGGCTTCAAGAGAGGCCTGTGAAAATCACTTGTCACAGTTTTTCGCCCAGAAATCACACAAGTTCTACAGTGACGGGATTATGGTTTTACCTCAAAGATGGCAAAAGGTGGTCGAACAAAACGGCACATATTTAATTTCATAAGCTTCATTTCAAATATGAATAAAATTTGTTTCATTTTTGCAATAAAATACGAAGAAACTTTTTCCCCAACCCAATATATATATATATATATATATATATATATATATTGGGTTGGGGAAAAAGTATTCTATATATATATATATATAATAAACTCATAATTTTTATAACTTTCAATATAATTTTTTTAACTATTAACGTAACAGATAATCATTTTAGGCACTTTATTCGGAAACATCAACTCCATAAACATTAACTTCGCGCTGTTGTTGCTTTCTCATTTTTATCCTACAAAAATTTCAACAATTAACATAAAATTTATATGATTTATTCCTGTGCATGACAAATTTTTAAAAATCACGATTTTAAAATATTTTGAATTATTATTTATACAAATTGTCTGATAATAATTGCCTTATTCACAGTACACAGATAAAGCAGGTTAAACTGACAATGAGTAGGAAGTTTTTTGATCTCTACTGTTTTGATCTTCGTATAACAAAATTAATAAATAATTAATTAAAAAAGATCGGACAAAACAGACCTTGCTAACTGGGGTGTTTTCTACAAATGACAATGGCTATGTATATTGGTATATGTAATGCTGAAGTTTTCGTATGTCTAGCAACCACGTGAGCTAAACGTTGAGCTAAATTTTTGTGCACTTGTATTTATGAGAATTGACTGATTTTTTAAATTCATATCTTTTTAATTAATACAAAGATCACAAAATGGATACAAATGGATTTTCCTTTCCGGTTTCCTGGCTACAATAAATCGTAAGTCGTAAACCAATTGACAGCAAATTGACCAGTGACACTAAATTATTTTTTAAATTATTTAAAAAATATCAATTTGACTTACGATTCATTGTAGCCGAGACCTAACACACTCTACCTGCACCTACACATAATCAATAGCATGATTATCAGAAACCCTGCATATGTTAGAATATGCGGTAAAATATCTTTCAATTTATTAAATATTATCTACAAATTTATATTTGGATATATTTTCTAGAGTAATTATATTTATAAAAATCTTTAAATATGTAATTGATACATTTACACTTTTGAACTTGGCATGTCAATAAATGAATATTTGAATAAAAAATGAAATAAATGAAATTATTTTCGAAAATATATATATATATGTTAATAGTAATCAGATGGCTGTAGATGCAACAGTCGACTATCATTAAGCCCGCGAGTTCACGAATAAACAACTTTTTCATATAAAAAATATTATAATCTTATTTAATAAGAAAAGGCTTGGGACCCTGATGTAGGATGGTGGTACGTAATAACAATTAAGAATTAATAATGCTAAGAGACAGAGCCACTAATGTTGAAAAGTAATTTAATAAGGAAAAGTCTATCAGAGCAAAAAATTATTTAAATACATTTAAAAGACAAACACACGTTTCGATCTTCTACAGATCTTTTTCAATGTCAAAATTATAAAGGTAAACGCTAAACTTAAAACAAAGGAGGTCATGAGGACCTTAACAACAGTTACAAATATTTGAACGCATGAAATAACAGTCAAAATTACATTTGGTGGAAAACGCAAATTTAGATCAAATGTCAAACAAAACATAATAGATGGCTATAAAATGCTGCAAGAGAGCACAACTTACCTCGATATCAAGTCTTATACACTATAAATGAAATCAGAGAAGACGTCTGAGTTTCCCTCGATGAATCTGTCCAAAAAACAAAAATTAAAAAATTGAAGATGTCCATAGAAAAGTCGTAGTGATAAAATTGAAAGTTATAATCCAAAAATAGGTCTCTCTAATATTCAATCTGTTTAAGCACGTCAAATGAAATGAATTTGAACGTAATCGATAGCAAGGTGGCAGTCTGTAAAAAAAGAAAGAGGACAAAGAGCAAGCACAATCGGAATAGCACCTTATACACAAAAATCTCACAAAACTTATATACCAGTTAAAAATTAATTAAAATTACCAAACGTAATAGAAGTACATACTAGCCAATAAGCAAAAATCAGGCAGAAGAAGCCAAGTCAAGAGTAATGAAAAGCTGTGCAAACCAAAGAAGCCGAGGCTAGATTGGATGTGAAAGAAGAAGGAAGTAAAATAAAGAATTAGGAAATCAAAAAGGAGGAGAAAATGAAAGGGAAAGAGGAGGGGGAAAGAAGGAAACAAAGCATGAAAGCCGACAAAGAAGCAGGAGGTTTTTCAACAGGGAGACATTTATTAATGATAGGTAGATAAGAATCGTCCAACAACGAAGTATCACTTTGGATGTTTAAATTATTTTTTTGTTGGCAAATGTGCAACATCTCCGAAACTAGCCTTTTCTTGTAGGAAGGTTCTTGGTCCAAAATTGTCGTATGGTCTCAGTTAAAATTATGTCCTAGCAATCTATGCATCGAAACTACTGAAAGATTATCAGACGATTTGTTAATTTCTGAACGGTGTTCTTTTAGTCTAGTAATTAAACGTCTGCCCATCTGTCTTACATAAGAAGCGTCACAATCATTACAGGCAATTTTGTAAATAACGTTTGAATGATAAAATTTAAGTAGTGTATCTTTGTGTAATTGAATAAGCCTGTTTAGTTTATTATTAATAGAAAAAGTTAGCTTAAGATTGTTGTGTAAAGTCGTGTAAAACCTTTTAGGAATATTTTTAATGAAAGGGACAAAAAACATGGATTATGGGAAGGAGAGGAAGAGGGAGGTGAGCTACGGTTACTATTGGAAATAAAAAATTTGAGTCTGCAAGAAATAATCCTATGCATAAATGTAAAGGATAGGAATTTTCAAGAAGGATGTGTTAATAATATGAAAAGTTCTTTTCGTGAAATTTAAGATGGGAAAGATGGGATTTCAGTAGTTTCGATGCATAGATTGCTGGGACATAATTTTAACTGGGACAATACGACAATTTTGGACCAAGAACATTCCTACAAACAAAGCTAGTTTCGGAGATGTTGCACATTTACCAATAGAAAAATAGTTTAAACATTTAAAGTGATACTTCGTTGTTGGATGATTTTTATCTACCTATCAAAAAATAAATGTCTTGCTGTTCAAAAATCTCCCTGCTCCTTTGCCGTTTTCCTAATTTGCCTTCTTTCCTTCCTTCCTCCTCTCTTTTCCCTTTCTTTATTTCCCCATTCTTTTTGATTTCCATTCCTAATCCTTTATTTTACTTCCTTCTTCTTTCACATCCAGTCTAATCTCGGTTTTCTTCGTTTCCACACCTTTTTATTACTCTTGACTTGGCTTTTTCTTCCTGATTTTTGCTTACTGGCTAGTATGCAATGTTCCGATTAAGGATTCCCTCTATGTGCATGTGCGGCAATGCGCTGTCAATGAAGTACCTTATACTAATAAAAAAGGGCACCGTTACCCAGCTATAATAAACGTATGAAAACGTTTTATTTACGTATGAAAAAGTTATAGATAAAAATATGTACGTGGGTAAATCGTGTGTCGACCAGTGCGCGAACCTGTGCAGACGAACAATTAGCAGACATGAATGCCGATTTGAAGGCGTTGTTAGAAACGCAGAACGACATCCACGGGCGAATGTCTCGCTCTGTGGACAATCTGCGCAAAATGGACGTCTCGAACATCATCGCCGAAGCAATCCAAGTTCTCTTCCGCATCCTCGTTGTGACCAAACGTTGTGGACCAAATTCGAGATCCATCATGATCTCATCGTAACATTACTGAAAGACAAGTATCTTGAGAGTAAATACGCAAAGGCAGATTTTATTGATATCGCAGAAACTACGTACGTGACACAGCGGAGCATGTTGGTTGAATAAGCGAATAAACTCAAGGGCGAGTCGTCCATCGCGCCCAAGGCCGAGGCTCAACCGGAGCACACGCTTAAGACTTCGCTGCCGCAGATAAAGCTCCAGACATTCTCTGGCGCTTAGGGAGACTGACCAACGTTCCGCGATATCTTTCAGTCCATAATAGGGAACAATCCGTCTATCTCCAACGTGGAAAAGCTCCATTACCTCCGCACCAGCCTGCAAGGTCCTGCGGAAAAATAATTCGGTCATTGCCAATCGTCGGGGGCAATTATGAGCGAGCGTGGTCGATTCTAAGTTCTCATTATAAAAACAAGCGAGAACTAATTCGCGCCAACTTCGCCGCTTACACCGCCGTGCCGAAGATGAAGGCCGCAACCGCCGACAAGCTGAGCCGCATTTACAATGCCGTCACGACTGCCATCAACGCTCAAGAGAGCATTGACAGGTTTATTGCCACGGGATGGACCTTTTCAATCACTTACTCGTCGAGCGATTCGATCCGCAAACCCAGATGCAATGGGAGTCCTCCATACGAGATCCACCGAGCAATGACGTCCTGATGGATTTCATATCCAAACAAATCCTTACGCTCAACGCCGTGCAAAATCCGGAGGAACTTCCCGCGCCGCGAAATCTCACTTCGTGAAGCGCACTTCCGACTCCACAACTTGTGCCACATGCAAGGGGAAGCACTCCCTCATGCAGTGCTCGGAATTCAAAGCGAAAACCGCGAGCGACAAAAAAACTTCGTGGAAGCAAACAAGCTGTGCTTCAATTGTCTCGGCAATCACTTCCTTGCCAAGTGCCAGTCTGTCAAAACCTGCTTTACGTGCAAGTCACGACACCACGTTACTACACGACGCTTACTCACCAGCCGACGGAGCAAGTTCGTTGTGCGCCATACGATTCGAGTCAGACCGCAAGACGATCCTCCTCGCCACCGCACGCGTCACCATCACGGATCATCTGGGGAGACCTCAAGACATCCCGTATTAATCGACCGAGGGATCTGAAGTCTCTCTGGTCTCTGAGGCTTTAGCATAACGCTTGCGTCTGCTGCGGATCCGCTCCTCGATGGTCATCGCCGGAATTGGAGGAGCTTCTGGAGCAACTCGCGACAAGTTGTCTCTGAACCTCGTCTCTGGAGAGGCTGACAGAAGCGATTCTTCCAGTCATGGTGTACGTCCTTCCGCGTCCCTCGACGTATCAGGGATTCATTGTTCGAGGCACCATCATCTGGCCTCACATCCGCGATCTTTCTCTGACGG